GCCCCCCCCCCCCCCCCCCCCCCCGGGCCCGGGCGAAGCCAATGCAATTGCAGAAGCCTCACCAGTCGGGTAGCAGGAATGCGATCCTGAAGCGGGCACTAATCACCTGCCGAAGCGAATAGTATAGCGACCTTCTGTCAGAATAGGGGATATTGTCAGAATAGGCGAGCCAGTTGATTGAAGGTTCAGAAGTGTGTGTATTGTTGTTGAGCAGAATCTGCTCTGCCCCTAGGGCGTATACTAGTAATTTTATAGGGTGGATGCCCGGAATTAAAGCTATCTTAGCTTACCCCCTATATTATATTATTTATTAATATATCCTTTATTTTAATATACCCCTTTAAGGCTAATTACTTTATAATTTATTTTAATTTTAATATATTATTTATTTTTAAAGTATTTAAACTTTTACTTTTCCTTTAAATAATTTATTTTTAAAGCTATTAAAAGTTTTTTAAATAATTTCTTTTTATTTTTATTTTAAAATATATATTTTTATATTTTTTAATTTTAATTAAATTATAAATTTAATTTAACGCATCTCCCACTTGACCTAGCCACCCAATTGACCTGGCCACCCCCTTAAACTATATAAAAATCCAATGTTTCAATCTGTTATAACTTAACCAATATTGGTCCCACGATTTAATAACTAGTATTATAAGATTCGTTATTTAATAAGGAATCCAACGGTATTTTTTACTATTTTTTACAAAATTTATTAAGCGAAATATTAAACAATACGCTAAAAGGGCGCTAGGTAAGGGTTATTTTAACGCTTACTTTAGCGTATTGCTTAATAACTCCGCGAATATAAATCGTAAAAGTTAATAAGGGATACCGTTAAATAGCTCTCTTTATTACGGATCTAATGGTATATTTTATTATCTTATACGCCCAATATTTGTAGAGTTATTAAATTATCACATGATTAGCGCACCGACGTTTTTTATATGGGCTGGGGGGGTGGCCAGGTTAATTGGGTAGCCAGGTCAAGTGGGACATGCATTATTTAATTATTAAATGTATTTTTATAAATTTATTTATAATTATATTATTTATAAAAATATAAATAATATTGAAAGTTTTTTTTTAAACTTTTTATTTTAATTAATAATTAACGCATCTCCCACTTAACCTGGCCACCTAATTGAGCTGGCCACCCCCTTAACCTATATAAAATCCTATTATTTCAATCTATAATAACTTTACGAATACTGATCGTACGATTTAATAATTAGTACCTTTAAATCTGTTAGTTAAAGGGGAATCCAAAGGTAATTTCTACTATTTTTTACAAAATTTATTAAGCGAGATATTAAGCAATACGTTAAAGGGGCGCTAAGCAGGGTTTACTTTAGCGTTTACTTTAGCGTATAGCTTAATAACTCCGCGAATATAAGTCGTAAAAGTTAGTAAAGGGTACCGTTAAATAGCTCTTTTTATTACGAATCTAATGGTATATTTTATTATTTTATACAACTAATATTCGTAGAGTTATTAAATTATCACGTGATTAGCGCACCGACGTTATTTGTATGGGCTAGGGGGGTGGCCAGGTCAAGTGGGAGATGCGTTATATATATTTATATATTAAAGTTTAATTTTTAAAATAAATACTTTTTTTTAAAAGTATAATAATTTATTAATTATTATATTAAAAAGTAATTTATTAATTATTTAAAGTAGTTTTAAATTTTTAATTAATTTATTAATAAATATAACTTTTATATTAATTTATATTAAAGTTAAAAGTTTACTTTTAATAATTAATATAATTATAATATTTTATTTATTTATCTTTTAATTATTAATTCTTTTAAATAACTTTATAATATAAATTTATAAATTTTATAATTAATAAAATTATTATTATTTTTAAATTTAAAAGTATAATATTAAGTTTAAAAAAGGTAATTTAAAGTTTAATTAACTTTATAATAATATTTTTATTATAAATATATATATTAACATTAAAGTAGGTTAAGGTAATAGCTTAATACTTTATACTTAAGCCTTTTTTAATTATATATAAGGTTATATAATAATTTATTTAACTTATTAAACTTATAATAAGTTAATGCTTATTAATTTATTAATAATTTAATAAATCTTTTTAAATTAATATAATAATTAAGAAAAAAGGGATATATTTATTTTTTATATTTATTTATTTATTTAATTTTACTTTTTAATTATTAATTTAAAATTATTAAACATTAATATACTTATTTACCCTTAACTTTATTTTTAACTTTATTAATATATAATAATAGGAATATTAATAAAACCTCTTTAATAAATACTTATTATTCCTTTTATTATTATTTATAAATTAAAACCCCCTTTAATTAATAAACCTTAATGCATCTCCCACTTAACCTGGCCACCCAATTAAGCTGGCCACCCCCTTAACCTATATAAAAGTCCAATGTTTCAATCTATAATAACTTAAGCAATATTAGCCCTACAATTTAATAATTAATACTATTAAATCCATTATTTAATAAAGAATCCAACGGTATTTTTTACTATTTTTTATAAAATTTATTAAGCAAGATATTAAGCAATACGTTAAAAGGGCGCTAAGTAAGGATTATTTTAACGCTTACTTTAACGTATTGCTTAATAACTCCACAAATATAAATCGTATAAACTAACGGAGGGTACCGTTAAATAGCTCTCTTTATTATAAATCTAATAATCCATTTTATTATTTTATACGACCAATATCCGTAGAGTTATTAAATTATTACGTGATTAGCGCACCGACGTTTTTTGTATAGGCTGGGGGGGTGGCCAGCTTAATTGGGTGGCCAAGTTAAGTGGGAAATGCGTTATATATTAATATATAAAGGGTTTATTATATTTTAATAACTTTTTAATTAATATTATAAATAGGTTAAATCTTAAAGGTTAAATATAATATTATAAGTCTCTTTAGTTTTATAATTAATATTTAATAAAATTAAAGCTTAAAGAAGGAAAGAATTTCCTTTAAAGTATATATAAAAAGGGTATAAAATATATATAAAATATATATATTTTAAAAGCTTTAAAATATTATAATATAATAATTATTCCTTTTTTTTAATTAAATTATCCTTAATTTAATATATAATTAATTTATTAATTAAATATAAAATAAAAAGTTTAATTATATAAATATATAATTAATAATGCATCTCCCACTTGACCTGGCCACCCAATTAACCTGGCCACCCCAATAACCTATATAAAACCCCATTATTTCAATCTTTAATAACTTTACGAATATTAATCGTACGATTTAATAATTAATACCGTTAAATCTATTACTTAAAGGGAAATCCAACGGTATTTTTTACTATTTTTTACAAAATTTATTAAGCGAGATATTAAGCAATACACTAAAGTAACGCTAAGCAAGGATTATTTTAACGCTTACTTTAACGTATTGCTTAATAACTCCGCCAATATAAATTGTAGAATTTAGTGAAGGGTACCGTTGAATAGCTCTTTTTAATACGAATCCAATGGTATATTTTATTATTCTATACGACTAATATTCGTAAAGTTATTAAATTATCACGTGATTAGCGCACCGACGTTTCTTGTATGGGCTAGGGGGGTGGCCAGGTCAATTGGGAGATGCGTTATTTAATTAAATAAAAGGAGTATTTATATATTAAAAATATTTAATATATTTTATTACTATATAGTTTTTATTATTATATGGTTAGATTTTTATAACTTTTTATATTTTATACTTTAATTATTGTTTTTTTTATTTATAATAATAAAGAATGCATTAAAAGAATTTAAATTATAAATTATAATTAATACTTTTAAATAAAACTTTTATAATAAATTTATAATATTTATAAAGATATATAATATATTTATTATAACCTTTTATTATTAAATTATTAATATTATACTTAAATATAATAGTTAAAATATAAATAATAAATTTATTATAATTAAGGAATATTTAATTATATAATTTATAATTAATTTAAATTTAAAATTGTTTTTCCTTTAAATATATTATATTAAAGATATAGCTAATTATTTATTATATAAATATAAAGCCCTTTAAATTAAAAAGTGTTAAATAATATACTTTATAAATTATATACCTATTATAAAAATGCATTTAAACTGTTAAATTAATTATAGTTAAGTCCTTTATAAAGATTTTATAAAATATAATATATATTTTAAATGTATAAGGGTAATTATTAAATAAAAAGGTATTATAAAGGAGAATATTTATAATTTTAATAAAATAGGATTTATAATAGGTATAATTATAATTAATATAGTTATAATAAGTATTAAAAGGTAAAATAGGTTTAAATAAGCTTAATTTAATAATTAAAATTAATTTATAATTATTTATTGAATTAATTTTTATAGTTAAGCAATATTACCTTTTATTATTTTATAAGGTAAAACTTATTTATTTTTTTAATATTATAATAGCTTTATATTATTTAATTAATATATTATAGTTTTAAAAAACGGTTAAATTAATAATAAATTTAATTTAAAATAGATTAAATATTTTAATAAATATATTAAACTATATTTAATTAATATAAAATACCTTTTTATCCTTAATAGTTATAAAAGTTATTATTTAAAAATATTTAAGAATTATTATAAAGAAAATAATATTTATATTATAATAATATTTATTTAATTTTTTTATAAATTTTAGTTTTTAAATATAATATGTTTTAATTTATTAAAAAAGGCTTATAGTATTAAAATTAATAATTTTATATATATAGGTATAATTTATATTTTTAAGGAGGATTTCCTTTTAATATTTTTTAAGGCGTTTATAAAGTTAATAATGCTTAAAAA